TCTCTATGTTATACAAAAAGAAATAATGGTCAAATGAATGTGGTTTAGGAGTGGAATAGAAGCTTCAAAAGTCATTTTACTGGATGTGAACTTCACGTTAACAAAATAATTAACATATGCCTTGATTTGAAAAAGGGTAAAGAGCCTGTCCACAGGCTTGAAAGTCACAATCTGGTTTCTAATATAAATCAGGGGCTGGGCTACCTGTGGTATATTCACCTTCGTCGCACCACAGGCAGTACCTACTCTTAAACARTAAACAATAAACGCACAACATCAATATAAATTTTTGATAAAACATATAAATCACTACTGACCTTTTCTGTTTCGACTTGAATAGCATTGATCGATCGATTTGGGGATACGGTACAGGATCTCCATTCGTTTGATAAAGACTATCTATTTTCCCTTTGATGTATCTATGGTAACTGTACGCCGCTCTATTTTCTGTCTTAGCTTTTCATCTGGCAGAAACGCAAGTGAGGAGTTTTTGAAGGTCTTTTTCGATTCCTTGTTTCATAAAAAAGAAATGAAACGAGAAAATAAGTGGAATAAGTTCACAGTTCTTCTCAACGGGAACCCCTTAACGTATCCTTCTCAAATAAGCCATAATTTTCATTAATCTTTAAAAATAACTGATTCAAAGTAACTTTTCTAGAGATGTTAGACCTTTCGCTATAATTTTAAGTCAAAATACCAAAGAATTTTTATTCCTCATTCCGACACTCCACCAAGGAAAAGTCCGATCCAAGGAGTGAATCCAGATAGGGATTTTCCACAATTTTGGATTTTGAGGCAAAAAGTAACAGGTCCTGAAAGAGCAAGAGAAATGGGGATCGATTGTGTAAATTGTTTTGTTTTGGTCGTAAAGGAAATGGGTTTACAGGCATCAAAAGTATGGACCCGCAAGCCGCTCGTACGCCTATACAACACACCCACCTCTCCAATGTTCTAGGTCAGTAACATCTATTTTTTTCATCTGTTAGAAAAATTAACTGTTTCTAAAAAATCGATATATCCTATTTTTTTATATCCCAGAGTTTTTTTCGAATAAACTATTAAACAATATAGAGTTCTGATGAGCAAACTTTGAGGGGTTTTACCCTTTTGAACTGAGCTGCAAAAAGTCGCGCGGAGAAAATAGTTTTTCAGTTTGTTGTAGGAGTCAGAAAGTGAGTCTAGAACTGGATTAGTCTGTACCTTGAGTTTTTCACAGTCATGCAGAACGTACTCTTTATCGATTTGACCATTCTTTAAGTGCTAGGAATTTTTTAAAAGCTTCAAATGTGGAGCATTCAAGGTACGGGCGAAGACTACATCACGGGCGGAGAAGGACCCCCATAAAATGCTAAAAATGTATGTAATTTGGTCTGTGAGGGGCCCGTGAGATGCACTCTACGCCCGCGATGTAGTCTTTTTCTCAAAACACATCATTCAGTCACAAGGCAAGCCTGTTATTCTTTATCTTAGTAGTTAATTATATCATAAAACAATCGCCTACCAAATCAAGGCTGATGTCGGTTGGATTTTTAACCGCTAAGTCATCATTATAGACGAAGCGGTAAACAACAAGTTTGAGAAGTAGTTTGGAGACATTTTATCTCCATAATACTATTTTATGCAGAGTCAAGATTAACGCCAAACACTCAAACACCTTGTTAAAAATCAAATAAATAACTCCAAACCATGAAAACTGTCTTCCCTTAGCGGAAGATCATWTATTACTGAGAAACCTCCATTTATAGGCATTTAATTGGGGCTCAGAGGGCTATAGATAAAAGCTAACTACAAACATTACGTACGAATAACAATTTCGAATAATTCGTACTGCAGTGGAAAATGTTGGTAAATATTCGCTGAACAGACTCCCGTACGAATAACAATCGCGAATAATTCGTACGAGAGTGAAAAATGTTGGTAAATATTCGCTGAACAGACCCCCGTACGAATAACAATGGCAAATAATTCAGAATGTTGGTAAATATTCGCTGAACAGAGTTAAAACATGCCCTTCGTACTGACTTATGAGAACAATGCAACAGAACAATGCAATATATGACTTTGTAATTATGTAAGTGAATAATGTAAATATGTAAATAACAACTATATCTATTATAATATCAACTCTGTTAAGGACTTGATTTTAGTTTCATCTTATGTTATCTTATTCATCGATTTCTTTATTCACTTATTTTAATGTTTTCTTCTCGTCTCCAATTATTTTATTTTATTATAGTCTTAAATTTCTACGCGACCACATCAGCCATGCTGTAATATCAATCGTGTCTAAATAAATATCATTATTATTATTATTGTTAATAATAATAACAATCGCG